ATACACCATTAATAATGAGAAATGCTCTAAAGTAAGGCAAAGAATTCATGGTAAAAGGAAAAAAAAAATATCCTGTGGAGATGATGACGCAACTATAAAATTAGTAATTTTAAATTAAAATATTTCATCAATTGTAAAATGAAATGACTTATGAAGATGGCATTTTGTTTTCTGAGGTTTTGTTTTGTTTTTTTAACTCTTAGTGTTCATGATTCAAGGCAAAGGGCCGCCATTTTATACATTCTACAGTGCTTTAGACATAGAAGATAATCAAATTATGAGCTGTTCCTGACAATGTCCAATTAATGCTTAGGACTCTGTACACACATACACACACACACACACACACACACACACACTCTCACACAATCTTCCATTTGGATATCTTTCTTTAGTCCTGTCACCTATCTTGATTTCTGTTTTGTTTTGTCAACTTCTTTCCAAAACCCCCAAAGACTCGGCATCCCTTTTTACTTCCTCAGGGCCATTATAGTGTTACCATCTTTCTGAATTACCCAGAACTGAAAACTTGTTTCTATTATTAGTTTTTAATTCTCCTTCAAACACACACTCAGTCACAAACTTTTAATTTTTTTTCACAATTTATCTTGGATGCTCTATTTATATGATTGCTTTTGGGATCAAATCATCCTCATATTATATTTATGTCAGTCCACAGCTGAACCTTTGTTTTCACTGTTCTCTGCATGTCAATTTATTCTACACAAGGATGCATGTATGACCTTTCTCAAGCACAACGTATATCAGGCAGGTCTCTCTCAAGATTAAGAATTTCTATTTTTTTTTCCTGGTAATTCAAATACATACTTCTCAATTTAGCTCTCTCAAAATACTTTTGAAACTCTTAACTAGTATTGGCGAACTGTTTATCACCAATCAAATATAATTTTATAGCGGTACCTGGGTGGCCCAGTTAGTTAAGCGTCTGACATTGGCTCAGGTCATGATCTTGTGGTCCATGGGTTTGAGCCCTGCATTGGGCTCTGTGCTGACAGCTCAGAGCCTGGAGCTGCTTCGGATTCTGTGTCTCCCTCTCTCTCTGCCCCTTACCTGCTCATGCTCTGTCTCTTTCTGTCTCTCAAAATAAATAAACAAAAAATTTTTAAAAATACAATTTTATAATCCAGGTTTTCACCCCTAAATTCTTGTATTCCCATTCCCCAGTAGAAATATTCATCCCCAGATCATGCGTTCTTCAATGTCTTCATAAATCTGTGTTTGTCATTAGTCAGTATTGGTGTCTTTATGGGATTTTTCCTAGTTAAACTTTTCCAGCCACTGATTATTTATTCAAAACTAGTTCACGAAAAATCAAGCTGTATTTCTCGTGACTTCACACACTGACTGGGGCAGGTCAAAAGAAATAGAAGAGACGTGTTTCCTTCAGAGTCCTCATTCTTTAAAAACTGTGATGCAGGAATTAAGAAGAAGACACAGGAAAATGAAGGAAGAATATCTCATCCAGACTGAAGAGCTTGGAAGAAGGTTGAATGAGATGAGGGAGTAAGAAGGACTATGAAGATCACGTGGTTGGGACAAATGCAATGGGAAGAGCTCTGTGCTTTCCACAGAGTCATGTATAATCTGCGTAATTGCAGTACTCACGGTAGTTGATATTAGATTGAACGTTTGTTCAATTAAGAGAATAAGCTCGCTTGAAATTAAGAGAATAAGCCTCATCCCATCTTGAAAAGGTTTGGATTCAACATAGAAAACGATACAGCAGATACTAATAATCTCGTAAACTTTCAAATCCCTTTTTCTAATTAAATGGTATTCAAATGTGACATAAAGGTCATACATAAACAGATGGCTTTCAAATTCAAAGAGTTTTCCATAAGGAAAATACTTCAATGCAAGTCTAGTTGTGAGGTTGGTTGGATTTTCTTCTATCAAATATTGAGCAATCACAAATTATTTTGGTTCTGAAAACTGTTATTTTAGGAATTCTTTTTTGTAAACAATTTTTGCTGTCAGTATCATGTATTTGCTTTGGAAATATTTTACATGCAGTTTAATATTATGGATAAATATTATGCTCTAAATTTGTACTTAAGATGAATTTGCCTTATGTCTTTGCTACTGGGAGATAGGAAAACACAGCATTGCCATTCTGAACCACTTTTTGTGAGCTACAATCTCTAGTTTAAGATCAGATCTGTGTTGAATAGAAAGTCCTAAAGGACTGTTGTACGAGAGATAAGATGACAGTGGATTTGGAATTTCGTAAAAAGGAAGAGCTGAAAGTGAAGAGTAAATAACACTGATAAGGTTGATGGGACCTAACCAAAATCCCTGGAGGCCAGAGTGGGAAGTCCTCTGTATACGTCCAACAAAACTCCTTCAAAAGCCCAGTGACTTTCTCTGGAATTTCTGGAATTTCTAAGGAACATTAACGAATGGCACTGGCTTCAGTGAGTAAAATTCAAACACTATTATTGAACTTTTCTTTTAATATTCCATTTTCCTTCCTGAAGAGTACTTCTTCAAATACACTTTTCTCTTCCCTCCAACTTTTCTTCTTTTTTAAAAAATTTTTTAATATTTTATTTATTTCTGAGAGAGAGAGAGAGAGAGAAACAGTGAGCAGGGGAGGGTCAGAGAGAGAGGGAGACACAGAATCTGAAACAGGCTCTAGGCTCTGAGCTGTCAGCACAGAGCCTGATGCGGGGCTCAAACCCTAGGCTCTGAGCTGTCAGCACAGAGCCTGATGCGGGGCTCAAACCCATGAACCCTGTGATCATGACCTGTGCCAAAGTCGGACGTTTAACCAACTGAGCCACCCAGACACCCTTCCTCCAACTTTTCTTCTAAAAGTTAGATTTCTGCTATTACCCGATAGAATAGATCATTGTTTCCTAACATGTAGGTTGTAGCCAATTGGAGTTGGGCTGCAGGAGATTAAAATTTAGATGTTTTCTTATCAGTTTGTTAGTGTCAAGGCATCAGACTTTCTCTACACTCCTGTGGAGTTTTGGATAAATAGTCAAGAAATGGGTTAGCTGAAACAGAGAGTAACCTGATTTTCTCTTTATTGGGGTTCACTTGATCTTCATGCTCTCCTCATGCCCTTCCATTATGTGCCCAATTTACTGGGTTCAGTCAAGAGCGAGAACGCTACCTCTACTACTGCCGTTATTACCAAGCTTGATTTCCCGATGACTGTCTCTCAGGAGTGGCACGCAACACTCCATACGCATTTATCTCATTTAATCTCTACGGACATGTACACATTCCCCAAAGGAAAGATGGAGCATGTGGAAATATGACTTTGACTTGTGTTCACATGCGCCTCTTCTGTGTGGAAGAAAGATTAGAGCTTCACATGCTCTGATCAACCTTTGCATCTGTCACAGAACTGAGTCGTTAGCCCTTAAGAAGTATTTCTTAGAGAGATAGGGACACATCCATAGTAGGTTTAGTAGGGCTCCCCTAGATCCTCTGCACGCTCCTCAGACGTTCACTGCTTTAGCTGTTTTGTTAGCTGCTTTCCCTTAAGCTGCCCCTATTCACGACCATCCTGCCTCTTTCGATGCTTTTACATATTTGTCCTGGCAGAAGGTCCGTTATCGTAAGAGCACTGAGTCACATTTTCCCTATGTCACAGACATGGCTCCTGTTGTTTGGAGATCAGTAAAAGAGTCACAGAGTAGTCCAGAATGTTCTGCGTCTATCGAAATGATCAGATTAGCATGAAAACATGGTAGAAAGGTTTCAGAGTCACAAAGGAATGGCAGTCGTTAACATGCTATTTCCGCCTTGAAATACCAAGGAAAACTTGGTAACAGATTTTCTTAAGTGATCGCTCACTATATCATCTGCAGACCTGGGTGTTTGCACCACTTAGGAAGAACTTTTCATGATTACCTCTGTTACTCCATGTTGTAAATATCAGAATGTTTTCAATTAATCAAGTGAAGCAGGAATTCACTGTGTCAGACTCTAACATTTATACAGAGAAGCATGTTCTTAAAGTACCACTACAACTCGGAATAAAATACTTACTAGATAAGAAAAGCTCTAAACTAATATTTTCTTAATTTAAAATAGGCACACTTAAGTTTCTGTTTCATGCTTTTCACAGATACATACTGCTTTGTTTTCTTTTCCCATGGAAAAATGTCCTTATTTTGTGTTCACCTGGAGGCATCTGTCTTTATTTAACAGAACAGTTCTCTCTTTTCTCGAATATTTTCTGGAATATTGTACATCTGATAAGTGATGCGAACTGACGCTTCCCAGAAGTTTACTGATTATGCAGTTTCAGGGAAATCTCTCATTTTATTTTTAAAGATGTTCCCTCTTTCTCTTTTTGGTCCAAAATACTTTACCAAAAGCCTGACTTTGGCTCCAGAGTGAAATAGGCGTGGTTTCAATTCTGGCCCCGTCACTTCCCGCTGCAGGCCCCGAACAAGTTGTTTACACTTTCCAGGACTTAATTTCCAGTATGTAATTTTTAGGATTTTTGTGAGGTTGCCTGCATTTCTATCTGCTCAATACATGTTAGCAATTGTTTTTATTTTCAGTAATGTTAATATTATTAGCACTACCACTGAGTTATTATTTAAGGTTATGGAATTTTTTAAGCAACAAAAAAAATCATGTTAGAATATTCTGGTAGTTTGGTTCATATCTATGATAGACTTGAAAAATACATGATAAACTCACTTTCTGTCTATATTTGAAGGCAAGTTATGTTGAACTGTAAAGGTGATAGACTTACCATTTGGCAACAGCATGTAGGGTTTTCTACACCATGAACTTCAAGGACATATTATATTTTAAGTAAAATGTATAATAAATATCTGTGGGCAAATTGTGTAAAGAAATTTTAGAACAATTAGCAAGCTCCATAGCAGGTAAAATTGGCTCGATGTTTCTGGAAGAACAGCTTTCTAGCTTTGTGAGCTCAGACACCTTCTTCCTTCCCTTACTGTTTCCTATTCAAGTGACTAAAAGGATATATTTTTGCTTTTCAGTCATTCAAGACTGCTTGCAACTGATCGCAGACAGCGCCACACCTACTATACGAGAAGGTAATGAGATGCCCCACCCCACCCCCAACGTCCCCCGCCCGGTGACTTTTCTACTCACAGAGCCTCTGGGTCCAATCACTTGTGATTCTCTGTTCAAACTTCATCGCACATCAACTCTCTGCTTCACACTTCTTAGAATCAGATGTAAAGTAAGAAACTTAAACGTAATTAAAATGACTGGGGAATAAATATTTAGGTCAATGTAATAATCTAACAAGCAGACTTACCTTAGAGGCACTAACACTTAGAAATTTAAAATAATTAGCCTATGATCAAACAAAATCAATACTAAGCCAAACTCAACTTTTTATTTCTTAGAAATCATTTTGGCTTCTCTAATGACTCGAGAGTATCTTCACAAATATTAATTCTCCTATCTGTTAGGTTTTAGAAATCATAACAGGATGAAGATAGAATTGAACAGATCATAAACATTTTCTATTAATTATTTTATTTATAAGTGTATCATATGTGCAAATAAATATCACACTTTTATGACAATCCGATGTGAAATGATTGCTTTGTATTTCACATATATTGGTTAAGATTGCTTTGTATTTCACATATATTGGTTAAGAACATACTATGTTCCAGTTACTGTGTGGGCATTGGGGCTTAGCAATGGATAAAATATGTGTGTTCCTCACTTTTATGGCATTTACCTTCTGATGGGGGGAAAACTGGAAAAATAAAAAGCAAATGAACAAGTAAAATGCAGAATGATAAAATTAAGTGCAATGCAGAAAAATAAAGCAGGCGAGGGGCTAGGGAATGTCTGGGCCGTGAACCAGAACAGGGAGTTCACAAGTGTCAGAGGGTTAAGCTGAAGGTCAGGAATGGGGAAAGCAGAAGGAGCCCAGAGAATGAATTTGGATTGGCCTTCATAATGGCTGCCAAGAGTGCTAGCTTGTATCTGTATTTTCCTTTGTGACATTAATTACCCTGAATGTAACACAGATACTAAACTATTTGAAATTCGAATAGTTTATTCGAATTTATTTATTTATTTATTTATTTATTGCTCTGCGTTTTCCAAAGTCATGTGTTTGCAACTTTTAATGGGCAGCAGACTGCTTACTAAGGATTAAAATAACATCAGAAGAAGACCTTAAGGACCAAAGATAAAAATTTTAACATATGACTTAGAAGAGGTTTGTTTCATACATTTGGCCCAAACAAAAATGCAGTAAATCACTCTCAGAGATGAAGCAGCTACTTGATCGTGAACGTGACTTGCACAGAGTAGTATCTATGATCTTGCTGGAGGGGTGGCTGCTCTCCACTAACCTAAGGGTGCTTGTGTGGGTCCCTTGCTCTTTGGACCCATGGGTCTGCTGTATGAGGCCAGCAGGCCTTGAACAGCATGTATCTGGAGTGCGCATGGGCACTTAAGCATTGCTTTCCTGCATCCTATAAGTCTTGGTATGTTGTGTTTTCATTTTCATTTGGCTCAGGATATTTTTTAATTTACCTTCTGATTTATTTTTGACCCATTAGGTGTTCAGGAATGTATTGTTTAATTTCCACATTTTTTTTAATTTTCCAATTTTTCTCCTGTTACTGATTTCTAGTTTTATACCATTTTGGTTAGAAAAGATACTGGATGTGATTTCAGCTTCTTAAATCTGTTCAAACTTGTTTTGTACCCTAACATTTTCTTTATCTTCGAGAATGTCCTTGGTGCATGTAAGAAAAGTGCATATTTTACTACTGTAGTCTGAATTAGGCTGTGTATATCTGTCTGTTAAGTCCAAGTGGTCTGTAGTGTTATTCAAGCACACTATTTCCTTAATATTTTCTTTTGGATGACCTATCCTTTATTGAATGTAGGGTACTGAATTTTCCTACTGATATTGTATTGCTGTCTATTTTTCTCTTCAAATCTGTTAATATTTGCTTGATACATTTAGGGGCTCCAGTGTTGAGTGTTATATCCTCTTGATGAATCAATCCACTTGTCATCATGTAATGACCTTGTTCATCCCTTGTGACATTTTTTGACTAGTTGACGTCAACATAAGACAATATTTTGACGATTTTTGACAAATATTTAGACAATATTTTGTCTAATATAAGAATAGCCACTTCTTGTCTCTTCTGTTTATCATTAGATGAAATAGTGTTATCCTGCCCTTCACTATGTGTGTCCTTAAAGCTGAGTGACTTTCTTGTAGGCAGCATATGGTTGGATTTTATTTTTCTTTCAAATCATTTGGCCACTCAATGCCTTTTGATTGGGAAATTTAACCCATTTACATTTAAAGTAATTATTGATAGTGAGGACTGATTATTTTCCTTTTGCTAATTGTTTTCTGGCTGTTTTGTAGTTCTTCCTTTCTCACTCTCTTGATGTCTTTCTTTGCTGCTTATTTTGTGTACTGATAGCTTTAATTCCTTTCTCTTCGTATTTTGAGTGTCTATTGCAAGTTTTTTATTAGTGTTTACCATGAGACTTACGTAAAAGAACTTCGTTACAGTAGTCTATTTTAAGCTGATAGCAACTTAACTTCGATTTCATAAAAAAAAACTACACTTTGACTTCTCCCTCCTCCATACTCTGTTATTGATGTATACCTGTTTACATCTTTCTATATTGTATATCTACTAACAAATTACTATAGTTATAATTCTTTTAATACTTTCATCTATTAACTTTTATACTAGAGTTGAAAGTGATTTATAGTTCACAAGGGCCATTTCTTCCAGGTTTATGGAGATTTGTTTTATCCCTTTATTCGTGTTGGGTTTTCTTGGTTCTTCATGTTCCTCGTAGAGTTGCTTTGCTGCCTATGCACTTGAAGAACCATCTACCTCTACTGTTCCTCATGGACTGACTTTCCCCTGGAGACACTTTCACTGCTCAGCAGTGCTTGATATTAGCCACTCTAAGGCCAGGAGCAAGGCCCCCTTGGCTTCCTCCCTTCCCTCCTGGAGGAAAAGAATCTGTTCTCTACTTTTCCTCAATCCTACAAAAAAAAAAAAAAAAAAGCTGACTATAAAAGACCATCCTGTTCTTCCCCTTTCTTTGTTTCTAACAGTATCAAGGACCAAGCTCTTTTGGTTGTGCCACACTAAGTGAGATGACGGAAACTGGCTCCCCAGAAGGCACTGTCAGATCCCATGGCGCCAGGTGCCCACTCCAATCCCACCCTCCTTGGAGGAATCCCAGGCTGAGGCAGCCTTCCTCATGCTGAGCTAGGGCTGTTTGGGGATGGGACTAATGTGAATAAACTGAAATCGCTCCTCTTACCTGTATAAACGTGACCATCTCAGTGTTCACTCTACTACTTAGCTTCTGCTTCTTAGTTGGATCCTGAATTTCTTTTCCAGGTATTTTGGCACCAATATTATTGTTAAATCATATTTGATGTGTTAAATCATTGATGATGTGTAAGGCTTCCTGCACTGCCATCTTGCTGACATAATCCCTCATTCGGAACTTTTGATGTGTCAGCCCACTGCCTTCTGCCTACATGGTTTCAGGTGTGAAATCAGCTGTTAAGATTATTGAACATCTCTTGTATTTGAGGAATTGCTTCTCTGCAGCTGCTCTCAAGATTCTCTTTTTGTCCTTTCTTTCATCAGCTTCATTATAACTCACGTTGGTAGGGATCTATTTGAGTGTATCCTTTTTAGGATTCATTCAGCTTCTTGGATGTGTGGATTCATTCTTTCTTCAAAGTTAAGAAGAGTTTGCCTGTGGGCCTGGATGGCTCAGTCAGTTAAGCATTTGACTCTTGGGTTCCACTTAGGTCATGATCTCACAATGCGTGAGATTGAGCCCCACATTGGGCTCTGTGCTGACAGCACAGAGACTGCTTGGGATTCTCTCTGTCTATCTGTCTGTCTGTCTCTCTCTCTCTCTCTCTCTCCTCTCTGCCCCTACCCTGCTTGTGCTCTCTCTTGCTCTCTCAAAATAAATAAATAAATAAATATTAGGAAAAAAATAAGAGTTTGGCCGTTATTTCTTCAAATGCTCTTTCTGCTCCTTTCTCTTTTACTCCCATAATGCAAATGTTAGTCTGATGGAGGGTCCCCTATGCTGTGTTCACTTCCTTCATTCCATTTTCCCCCCTCTTCCTCACACTGGATACTTTTAATTATTCCATTTTCAAGTTTGTGGATTCTTCTACCTGCTCAATCTGCTTTGTAACCTCTCCATTGGATTTTTTTAATGTCACCTCTTTTACTTTTTGGATCACAAGTTCTATTAGGCTCCTTTTTAAGAAAAAAATATTTTTTATCTCTTTACTGACTGTCTCTTTGTTCATATGTCATTCACCTGGTTTTCTGAGGTTCTTGATCTGTGGTTTCCTTTTGCTCTTGAGTATGTTTAAAAGCTGTAAATCTTTGTCCGGTAAGTTCGATGTCTGGGATTCCTTGGAAATTTCTGCCATGTTTGTTGTTGTTGTTTCTGTGGATGGTCCTTAATTTTTCCATTTGTTTGTGTGCTTTTGTCAGTCTGCTGTCCCTTGTTCTAGAAGGCCACAGGTAGTGTATGTCTTTAAAGCTTTTGATTGACACCAGCATGGGAAGCTGCTTCCATCTGAAAGAAACCTCCAGAAAGATCAAACCGCATAGCCACAGTGTTTTGCGAACAAAGTAAGTATCATACCCACCGGTGCCAGCAAGGTGCCGCCTAGAACTCAGGCCATCATCAGTTCATGGCCACTGCCAAGCTGGAGAATGGGGGATGGGAAGTGAGTAAGCAAAACTACAGTACTTTTAATTGGAATTTAATAGCCTTTTTTCTTTTTTTCATTAAGTACTCCCTTGGTAGCTATAAGGTTGTTGTTTTTTTAATTAGCTTTCGTACATCTAAGAATACTGATTCTATACATTTTGCCAGCTTAATTGCGATTTCAGTGAAGGGACTTATTTTTGAGCTTTCTACTTGGCCATATTCCACGACATCACTCTGACATCTATATTTACATCTTTTTTTTTTAATATTTTTATTTATTTCTAGGAGAGAGAGAGAGAGACAGCGTGAGCAGGGG